CTTTAATATATATATAGATAATGAGCATAAATGAACGTTTTCCTCACATTTCATTGGTTTCTAGAATTTTGATTGCTGACTTATTGGTGGCCTGGTGATATTTATACTATGTTTGGATCATTGTTACCCATTATTTTATAATATTTTGTACTGCATTGTATTGTATCGTTTTATGAATACAATATCTGAATAGATTGTATCGTTTGTTGTTGTTAAATAACATTTTTATTGTTGGTTTGGCTATATCGTATTGTACTATAATTGATAAATTCACTAAAATACCCCCAATTATTTTAAATAAAATTTATCAAGAATTACATATAAAAATAATTTAAGAAAATATCTTTCTACTAATTCATCATTAATTACATAGCTTGGAAACAAGAGCAAAAACCTGGAAAAAAAAAGATTAACTAATATTAGCAACAAAAAAAATAATTTAAAACGATGGAAGACAGAATCGAACGGTGTTGGGCTAAAACGAACCAAAGATACTCTTAACATGATGTGATATTGTCCGCTTTGGGCCAAGCCCGCACGGTTTTCCCCAAAAGGCCTCACACCATTAAGAGATCCCTACACCTTATATGTAGACTCCCAATTTTTTTAACTACCAATGTTGGACTTTGTTCGCACACCCAACAATCTCCCCTTCGAACTAAGTTCCACGTAGCCCACTACCACAATCCACAAGTCAGTTTTTCGAGATTACTGTGTGCCACCCACATTGTTAGAATATTATGGCAACCGAAGCCCGCAACTAGCTTCTTCTTGTGTGCGTGCCGCCCCGCACCATCACTCCGCCATCTCCATACTTGTCCCGCTGAACCTGGGCTTTAATACCAGTTGTTGGGCTAAAAATACCCAAAAATACTCTTAACATGGTGTGATATTGTCCTCTTTGGGCCAAGCCCGCACGGTTTTCCCCAAAAGGCCTCACACCATTAAGAGATCCCTACACCTTATATGTAGACTCCCAATCTTTTCAGCTACCAATGTTGAACTTCGTTCGCACACCCAACAAATGGAGACTTGGATAAAAAGAACGGGGCAAACCAACACTAGAAAAGATGGAAGAAGAAAAAGTAGGTCAATAAGTTAGAGATTTGGAGTTAAAATTAAAAAATAATTAAATAATAAAATAGAATTATGGAGTGATAAGTAAGGGCATAATTGAAAAAGAAAATAGGAAACGATCGCACCACACCGAATCGATTGTTTCATAAAATGGGGGATTTTGGTTGTTCCGGAAAAATGCATTTAACAATACGATACAATCAACCTTAAATAAGCAATCAAAACAGATAGTATTATTTTGGGATAATAATACAATACGATACAATGGGTAACAACTACCCAAACAAGCTGTTATGTTTACGGAAATAACCATTTGAATTATTCGCAACTAAAAAATTTTGGTAATAAAAAACTTTGCTTTCTCTTTTTTTTTTTTGGGTCCACTCACTTTTTTTTTCTTTCTTAAATGGAGCAACTAAGGTCAAGAGAGTCCCCTGTTTTTTATTCTTCTTGTGAATGGAAAACATATAAAAAAACCTATTATTGAGGAGTTTAGAATTAAATTTTGTATCTTAAACCTGAGAATACTCAAATTTGTAATTTTAACACTATTAGAATACAATATGAATTTTTACATAAATAATCGGTGAGATTCATCTAATTATCCACATAATGTGAGAAGTATACCAAATGCTTTGAGAGAGATTAAAATTTAAATCCTTAACATGTTGACACTTCTATCTAAAGTGTGGACAACTCAATACAATAGATCGCTAAATTAAAAAGTTAGTAGCGAAATTTAAATTTATTTATTTATTTGGGGGTATGGGGAATGAAGAAGAGAATTAAAGATCGCTAAATTAAAAAATTAGTAGCGAAATTTAAATTTATTTATTTATTTGGGGGTATGGGGAATGAGGAAGAAAATTAAAGGTGCACAATCGAACCCTCACCAACAACAAGGTAAAAGCTCAAATAGCTAACAATTGAGCTACAAAGATTTTCTATGTTAAATCTATTTCAATACACACTCATATATTAAGGTCTGTCTTTTTAATTTTTTTTTTGAGACGCAAATACGTTATTTATTTTCTTATAATTAATATGTAATATTGTTTTTAATTAAAAATATAGTTAATCCATGTAGTCTTTTTTAAAACATTATTAAACTTAGGTAAATTTTTATCAATTTTAAATTTTGAAAATCTTATTCAAGCTAAAAAAAACTATCACATGAATTGCTAATATTATTTTACATAAGTAACATTGACATTTGACAAAAAAAGTCTTTTTCTATGATTTAGTCTAGTATCGTCATCTATTACTTGTGCAGTTGCTTTTAGCTATTTTAATTCTAAATATAAATCCAACCCATCAAATATGAAACGAGTTAGTTTGATTAAGCATGTATAGTACAACACAGTATAATTTTTAAAGAAAATAGACTCAGGTTAGAGCGAATAAGAGGAAAGAAGCGGAATGGGGCCCTACGCGGTGCAAATTCGGATATAGTCGGACTCAAATGCGAGTACCGGGCTCAGGTTGCCACTCATTTACTCCGTTTTACCTCAATCAAATTTAAAAAAAAAACAACATGACATTTGAAACTATGTGACGAGTTGTTATTCATGAGAAGTTGGGAACAAAATTGAAATAGTTTTCTTATCATTGATAACAATTAGTATCTAATTATTTATATAACTATAATAAGTTTTACTAAAGGGCAGTAAAAGGAAAATATACGATCTTTGTATGATTATTATTTTTTTATTTAAATTATCAGAAGATATAAAATATCATATTCATGATCTTCGTCATACAACAATGAAAGCTCAACTCTTATCATAATATAATATCAAATTAAGATGCTTAAACTAACAAAACAAAGGATTAGCTAACTTGAAGCCTTTTAAGATTTCTCTGTATCGAACTGGATAACTTAGTTTATGCTAATTCTTCATAATTAGATCACGTGAACTTATTCTTCACCATCCAGTTTTTTTCCTTTTCACTACTTCGAAAGGTCACGTATTTAGCTTTTATTTCTTCCTCCTTTCTTTTGGCATTCGAACATAATAGTACTATTCCCTCCTTCTCCAAAAATGATATTTTTCGGATTTTGAAAATCAGACAAATTATTCTTTGACTATAACTTTTTATTATATATTTTAAATATTTTTTGAATTTCTAATTAGTGTAACTTATTGTACTTTATATGTAGTTTTTAAATATATAACTTTTATTTTGAAAAACGTAAAAATTCTATATTTGAATAATGATCAAAATTAAAAAAAATTGATTTTTGAAATTCAAAAGGCATAATTCCTTTCGAGACAAAGGGGAGTATTATTTTCTTTCCCCTACTTTTCCGACACGTATAAAGGTGAAAAGGTTCCATTAATGTGTACTGTATGCCAAAATGTACGGCTGATATATATAACTAAAGGGTATTAGGGTACTCTCCATTTGCACCATGATTTTCAGCCTTTCAATTTTGCATGTCACTGAAACAATTGCACCAAATTTAAATTTAATGTAAAATTTGATGTTATTTTGCTCCAATGGATCACCAAATTTTGTACTATTATAGTGCGTGAATAGTATCGCACCAAATTTGGTGCGACACTATTCATCAACATCAAATTTGATTTAATATTATTTTATTCATCTTTTATTTTTTTGGACTTTTAATTTATTATATATTGTGTATATAATTAATTTTTATATTAAGATCTTTATAATTTTAATTTTATATCCTTTTTTGATATATTAATTTTTGTATATATTATATTTATATAAAATTATAAGTTAATTTTATTATTTTCAATGATTTCACTTTTAGTTGATTTATCCTTTAAAATAATTTTGTAATAAATGATTATATAAGTGGTGAATGTGAATTTATATGTGATGAATATGAAAAAAAAGATAGAATTTGTTTGAAGGAAATAAAAAATAAAATTTAAATAGAAGATAATAATATAATATAGAAGAGAGAGAAGAAATATTCTTTTTTGGTGTAAAAACTGGTGTAATGGTTGGAGTAAATTTAGTGTTACACCATTTTGGTATAAAATTTGGTGTGAAATTTAGTGTTAGGGTTGGAGATGGTCTTAATAGTTTCTTATTCTTACCAAATACCAACCCACTACACTTTTATGCTGGAAAAAAAAAACATACGTTAAATAATAAAATCACAGTTTAAGTATACTATTTTATGAACTACTACTTTTATTTTTATTTTACTCTTTTTGGGTTAATTAAGTTTCATTTTTACGAAATAATTCAATTAGAAACTTAAGGGTAACATACAATGAAGTAACTTTACACTGGTGTGAGTTTGTGTTAACGAATATCTAATGACAAATAACAAAGTCATGGTTATAAAGTTCTCTCACTGGATAAAGACGAAGGGGAAATCATATAATTTGTCGTGTTTTTTGCTCATATACTATATATTGACTTATCTCTTTATTTCACTTTGTTTAATACTATACCTATTTGGAGAGTTAGTATATTTTTTAATTATAATTCTTCTAAGATGTTTAACTAAAAAGAATTATGAATTGTACTACTCATTATGTACCTCCTAAAGTATGAGAAAAGAAATCAAACAACACCAAAAAATAGATGTATTATATAGAGGCTAAATGAATGGAAATTTTTTATTGACTTGACAATAAAGGAATGAGTTGGAATCTAGATGGTCTAAATTAAGTAACCTTTAATCCTCAGCAAAGAAAGCTCAATTGTACTATAATAATTATTATAAAACCGAAAATGTCAAAATAACACAAATAACAAACATACCAATAAATAAATATTTTACCAATTCCATACGCTAATCATTGATATAGTTTTATGATATGACCTACAATACTATCATGTTTGCACACTTAGCTGATTTTTGCCATAGAGAATCTCTCTACCCCATTTTCGTGTCACCACCTAACGTCACCCACCCACCCACCCACCGCTGACCCTTACGGCTGACCTTCTCTGCATCTCTTTTTCCCCCACTATTCTTCCTTCCTTCTACGCCAAAACCAAAAACCTTTCTCTCCCTCCCCCCCCACCCAACCACCCCCCTACGCTTACTAAAACCAACTTCCCATTTTCTAGGACCAGAAAATGCATAATAATCAAGCTTCTTCACCATCACAAACCGGAGCTCCGACCCAATTCAGAAATACCCAAATGACGCTTTCCGGTACCCTTGATGACCCGACAATTTCCTCCTCCCTCTTTGACTGGTCCGATTTCCTCGAATTCAACCTCGACGAAGAACAATTGAACATCTCATTCGACGACCCGTTACTTCACCCGCCGGAGACGGAGACAGAACCGGCGGCACCGTTAATATTACCCTCTTCGGAAGATTCACCGCAGAGCCAGGAGGCGGATGCAGATACGGATACTGGTCGGGTCAGGAAAAGGGACCCGAGGATGGCGTGCTCGAACTTTTTAGCGGGTAGGATCCCGTGTGCTTGTCCTGAGTTAGATGAGAAGATGGAGGAAGAGGAGCTGGGAGGGATTGGGCCCGGGAAGAAACGGGCTCGGACTTTACGGGCTTCGTCCGGAGCTGCTGGGTCGAGGTGTCAAGTACCCGATTGTGAAGCGGATATCAGTGAGCTGAAAGGATATCATAAGAGACATAGGGTCTGCTTACGTTGTGCTAATGCTACTGCTGTGTTTCTTGATGGACAGAGCAAGCGATACTGCCAGCAGTGTGGCAAGTATGTTTACTTTTTTTTTTTAATGGATTAAGTTATATATGATGACAGTATAAAGATTTGATTTTTACACTATCAGAAATTTAACATGTGTGATAGCAGGTTAGTTATCATTGTTTACCAAATTATCAATTATTGTTTATCATGAGATTTACTTGTAATTATATACCGTGACAGTGTGAAGATATTTTTACACTATCATTGAAGTTTAAATGTGTTAGTTACTGTTTTTACCAAATTATTAATTACTGCTTTTAAAAGATTTACATGTAATTACCTAATAGGTGACTTGATTATGTAAATATTTATATAATGTTATGAGTGAATAGAACTTAAATCTCTATTTCACAAGTACACGTTTTATGCTAGTAGATCATAGCCCGGAGTAATGATGAGAGGATAGAACAAAACCGAGCGAAATAAATGTAGATATAGAATAGTTTGGGTTTGAGGCGTGAATTGATTGTTGATTGATTTGAAAGTACAACCATGTTTACCACATATAGCATACACGAAAAGTAAAGAGAAATGATATAAAACCTCTTTTAGTAATACTATGACTGATCAAACCATTATTAATGCTCAAAAGTGATAAAAAAGGAAGTTTCAGCCTGCCAAGAAATATATTTTGATGTGTTTGCAAAAGATGGCTTTAGATTGAGTCATTGAGCTAATCGCATAGGTGATGTTGGTACTTAAAAAAAGATTAATCTTTGATTGAGCTCTTTGAGTATACTTATAGTATGTGGGATCTGCTCAAGAGTTTGGTCTTTGAATTAAGGATTCTCTTCCCTTGGAGTTACTTTGACAGACATTTCAATTGTATCTTTTGTTTCACTTGATCACTTCTAGTCTTAAGTGTATTTATATGAAACTGTTTGGTACACATTGCTATCTAGTCAAGAATTTGCCAGATATCCTGAATTGGCGCGTGCCAATTCCAGATGCTACCGATATGTTAATGCTGCTATACCTTTTCCAGGTTTCATATTTTGTCGGACTTTGATGAAGGTAAACGTAGTTGTAGAAGAAAATTAGAGCGGCACAACAACAGGCGCAGGAGAAAAGCCACTGATTCTTCGAAAATGTCTGTTGAGAAGGAATCTCGGCAGGTCAGAACGGCTGATGATATTAGTGGTGATGATGACAATGTCAAAGGTATATTGAACTTGAAACAATTTTGTCGCTAAAAAGTTGTCTTCTGCTGGAAAAGCTGTATTTACCTGTAATTCATCTATAGTAGATGCCATGTTCCATATGTTAGGCTACTACTGGTTTAAACTGAAAATAGGATATTTCTTATTTTTTTTTTTTTTGAATGCCAGATAGCACATGCACGGGCAGCCAATTAGGAGAAAGGGAAATCTTATTAGAATCTGAAGGACATGTGCCAATAGGCTCTACTCAAGGCATCCAAAATAATCAGAGTGACAGTTTCACAGCTTCTGGTGAGACACAGGGTGATGCAGAAAAAGAGAACTCCAAAAATTCCCTTTCTCCATCCTATTACGACAACAAGAGTGCTTTTTCTTCGATGGTAGGTCTGATGACATAATTCTCCTTTTTCCATTAATTCCCATTTATATCTGGACTATAACTTTGAATTGACAGTCATTCTTCTTTGCATAGTGCCCCACTGGTCGGATCTCATTCAAGCTTTATGATTGGAACCCTGCAGAGTTCCCTCGAAGACTCCGGCACCAAGTATTAAAGGATTATGATTACAGTTTAGTACATAAGAGAAAGTAAATTCTTTTTCTCCAATAGAGTTCATGGGGTTTGATTGACATTTTACTCTACAGATCTTCCAGTGGTTGGCCAGTATGCCTGTTGAATTAGAGGGCTATATTCGTCCAGGTTGTACAATCTTGACAGTTTTTGTTGCCATGCCAACATTCAAGTGGGGTAAGGTAATATGGTTACTGTTCCTCTCCGATGATAACCAAATTCTGTGTGTGATTGGTCTTAAAGTGTTTAGATATTACCATGGATTAGTACAATTTTGAGCAAGTGGTGCATCTCCTCTTTGAATGGTACTACGACCATCTTTACTAAGAGATTGTGTTTTGAGTTTCTAGGTCAGGAATTCCTCTCATAGAACACAATGCAATAGTGAAAATGAAACTCAGAGTGCTGTAGGAGTTGGATATTAGGAAGAGTTACCATACTGCTTTCTGTTTGACATGTCTGCTACATGTGGCTTCTGTAACATTTTGGTTGTGGATTTCCGTGTTATGCTTTTATAGAACATCATTTGTTTCTAAATGATCGAGTTCCTCATTGGGTTTAACAGTTGCTGGAAGACCCAGCTGCACACCTATATGAATTTATTGCATCACCTGGAAACATGCTTCGCGGGAGAGGAAGCTTTCTTGTTTATCTCAACAACATGGTATTTCGCGTTACAACAGGTAAATTGGTACCTCAAGTTTTCTACCCTTAAGCTCTGTTGGAACGAACTTATAAGATCAATGAGGTCTAATCTTTATTTCTGAGACCCTACTTTTTCATTTGATGTAGATCTTGTTTGGCTAATACGACTAATCCTGCCATTTCATTTTATTGACGGTATTTGACTAGGTATGAAGTTTAAGATGCTAGTTTGACTAAATATAAGATAGGAAGAAAAATATTGGACTAATGGTTGAAAAGTTAGTTTGATAGAGAAAACATCACTCAAAATATTAAAAGCTGAATAGCTTGATATATTTGAATTTGTGAAAGTTTGAAAGTTGTGTAAAAATGGAATGGCGTTAGGAATTTTTGAACCATGCAAGATAGAAAACTGTCATATAAATTGGAGCAGAGGGAGTATTTTATTGGACCTTTGTTTGCTTTTTCTGTACATAAGGTTGTTAAATAGTTTCCATTTATAAACTTCTGAATGAAACTGAATTCACCATCCCTCCTAGGTTGACTTGGACGCACACCAATCTGAAATTCACTTTCTTGCGAGTAAATTCAAAATATGAGTTCCCAGATCTCCATATCTTACCGTTCAGTTGAGAGTTTAAGAACAGTTTTTCCTTTCCGTTTCTGTTGTAAATATAGACGGTCTGGTCATTGTTATATATTTATTTTATTATTATTTCTGATAATACCTCCTACCAGCACATGTGTCGGGTGACCTATCTACCAAGGCTTATTTGACTAGGTATGAAGATTAAGATGCTAGTTTGACTAAATATAAGATAGGAAGAAAAATATTGGACTAATGGTTGAAAAGTTAGTTTGATAGAGAAAACATCACTCAAAATATTAAAAGCTGAATAGCTTGATATATTTGAATTCGTGAAAGTTTGAAAGTTGTGTAAAAATGGAATGGCGTTAGGAATTTTTGAACCATGCAAGATAGAAAACTGTCATATAAATTGGAGCAGAGGGAGTATTTTATTGGACCTTTGTTTGCTTTTTCTGTACATAAGGTTGTTAAATAGTTTCCATTTATAAACTTCTGAATGAAACTGAATTCACCATCCCTCCTAGGTTGACTTGGACGCACACCAATCTGAAATTCACTTTCTTGCGAGTAAATTCAAAATATGAGTTCCCAGATCTCCATATCTTACCGTTCAGTTGTGAGTTTAAGAACAATTTTTCCTTTCCGTTTCTGTTGTAAATATAGACGGTCTGGTCATTGTTATATATTTATTTTATTATTATTATGATTATTATTATTTCTGATAATACCTCCTACCAGCACATGTGTCGGGTGACCTATCTACCAAGGCTTATACAGATGGGAAGAAATCACCTAATTTCCCCTTTTTTGGCCTTCACTGGGATTTAAACTCTCGTTTCCGTGGTCCGTTCTGGTCAATGTTATATTGCACATTGTATTATGATCTACTCTTTGTCAATATCACTATCAAGTGACTAGTTAAAATTTTCTACTGAAAAATGTAGTCCTAATTCCTAGTTTTTCTAGATATGGCAGTAGGTAGGCCCAACTCCCAAGTTCATATATAATTTTTTCCGGGGGGTCAGGGGTTAAAATAATTAGCGAACTTTTGAACATTGTTGAACAGGAAGAGAAGTAAGTTCCATATCAGAGTTGGCCCACCCTATGGACAATGGGGAAACAATTTTCACATTTTCCATATATAAATGTATGTTTATGCGTGTATATTATGTATGCATAATATTGGTGGGACAAGTCACAAACCCAAAATAACAGATCAACACCGAAGTTGCAATTTTAAATGGTAACAAATATTCTTTATGAAGCAGGTGAAAATTCAGTAGTGAAAGTCAAGCTAAAGGGACCAGCACCAAAGCTTAAGTCTATTCATCCTACTTGCTTTGAGGCTGGCAAGCCTATGGAGTTTTTTGCCTGTGGAAGCAATCTAATGCAGCCCAGATTCCGGTATGAGTTAGAATCACATTTTTGTCAATCTATATTCTGCTTATATTTGGTTCTGTCGAAGTATCTTGAGTTCTTCATTAATTGTCAACACTCAACAGGAGATATTATGATAGCAACTGAGCTGTTTATGGACAAAAGAAAATCTCAAGCTTGCTGACTCTACTAAAACTAGCTTATCCGAGCTCTAGAAACTGAGAGTTAGTATATGTTTGCCTTTTTTTTTTTGAAATTGGTAACATGTTACATATATTAAAAATATTAGCACAAAGCCTGTGCTGTTAACCAGATACATCCTCCATAATAGCAAAATAAAGCCCCCCTGGACAAAAACTTACAGGGATTCTATGACTACAAGTATGCATTCACAGTCATTCTTACCAAAACAAAAAAGTAATATACAATTCATTTTTATCCTCTGGATGGAGTTTCTTGTACGCTTATAACATGTGGTATAGAGGACATTACCATGGATAGGAAGGTGGTATAGAGGTCGAGAATAAAGGTAAAGGGCTAGGTAGCGGAGCGATGTCCTTGTTTGTAACAGCAGCTTTAGTACATTATTTAGTGTCATTTGTGTATTTTCGTACTCCTTGACTTTTGTCATTACTTGTTGTTGCTTTCATTTGGCTTTTTTGATTGCATTACCTAGTGTTGGTTTTGTATTTTCGCTTTGGTTTTCCAATTGGTTTGCTTGTTGTTGCCATTCCTTTTATCTTTCTTAAGCCGAGGGTCCACCAGAAACGGCCTCTCTGCCTTCTTAAAGGTAGGGGTAAGGTCTGCGTACACACTACCCTCCCCAGACACTACTTGTGGGATTATGCGGGATTTGTTGTTGTTGTTGTTGTTGTATGTTGGACTTCGATTCCAATAGGGCAGGGATGCGGTAGACATGTTAGAGCTTAGCTCATGCTCAAATTTCATTTCTATTGAATTTGAGTATCAAAATACCGGATATAGTCATGATTCAATTGGTTAGCTCCACTTACTTTTTCTTTTATTGATTCAAATGGGTATGCCCATTTGTATAATGGAAAATGGGAGTATTTGGTGATTCAAGAAGTGACACATTTTTTCTGCATGGATTTTTAGGACATGGGTGTCCTTTGATTACGGATAGATTGTTGGATTCTGGATAGTAAATTTTCACTAAAAAAGTAAAAATAGGCCTGAAACTTGTCAAGAACTATTGGGGCCTCATTCTTATAAAGATTTTTAAAAATAAAAGCTTTTAGGCGTGAACACTCCAAGGCTTATTGTTCAGTTGTACTAGTGGCATTCTCCAACACAATAGGTGTGGGTTCTAGTCTCAGTGTCCCTTTTCTCCTTCCTTGATCCCAGTAAAAATGAAAAACAAAAACATCTCTCCAATTTGCAGGCTTAAAACTTGATGATGATGAATATAATTGAATTTGATGGACAACCCTCGTTCTATGTCAAACTTGAAATGGAAGAAAAAAGGCAACTTCGTTCAGACTTTTGGTGTTGTCCTCTTGCTTCGCTGCATCGTTTCGAAGAGTTTCATGTTTCTTTTTCACTCCATGATTGCTTCACTAATCCAGATCCCAGGTGGAACAATTAATAGCACACAAGTTGGTTCGAACAATGATGTTATTAAAAAGCATCCGAAAAGAAAAGGAATAGTAAAAAGAAAGATTTAAATATAAATCATGTCCAACTCATATAGGTCCCTTGATTTTTTCATGAAGTACTAGCTGTCTTTGGTGTATGATACGACCCTCGTGCCCGTTCTATGCTACTTGCTTGGTGGTAATGAAATTGTTTGCTTTTGATACACTTTTGAAACTATAGCCAATGGGGTGCAAAGTGAAGAATAGGCAAGAGAAGATCTTTCTTTCCTTTTTTGCCAACTCTGATGCAACTCTCAGTTGGGCATAGATTACAAACACTAGTATGAGCAATTAATGGGAGTTGCTGAATGGAGGTGAATGTAGTTATTACAAGAATCTGTGTTGCTGCAATTTATAATATTAATAATTATATATACTCCCTCCGTTTCAAAAAGATTGGCACCATTACTATTTGGGAAGTCTATGAGGTTGTTCTTTGACCATGTTTTTCTTAAATATTTTATAAATATTTTGAATTATGAATTACTATGACTTATAATACTTTTTACGTAGTTTCCTAAAATGTAAATTTTATTTTCAAAAAATTGAAAAATTTATGTCCAAATTCATAGTCAAAGTTAAGTACTTTGACTCTCGTACTCCGAAGTATGCCAATTTTTTTGAAATGGAGGGAGTACAAGAATAGGAAAGAGATGATCTTTTTCTCCTTGCTTTTCGGTGCAAACTAGTTATTGTACAAGATGTAGATGCTATTTTAGACGAAATGGCAGTTTTGGATAGCCTGTAGTTACACCTGTTGTGCACTGGCTTAGCGCCAATATTTGTAAAATATATCATAGACGAGTTTTAGTATCTAGGCCTAGCATCATACCCCTGATAAATACTACTCCCTCCGCCCCAATTTATGTGACATCCCAAAAAGTATGACACCTTTCTCTTTTTGGAAACTTATTAATTTTAAGATCTCCATTTTACCCTTAACAACATGACCTTTTAGGACCCTCACCACTAATTTTGAATGAAAAGATGTGTGGAGCTTTCATCACCACTCATTTAAAATGATAATTTTGGTACTTTGCATATATTTGGCTATCACGTCAAGTCTTCTTTAATTTGTTAAATTCCGTGCTTAGTCAAACACAATCACATAAATAGGAAGGAGTATTGCTTTTGATGGTGTGGAATAGAAAGATAAGTTCGTAGTTAGCCAAATCGTCCTAATGCGTCATGGCTGCTCTGTTTGCTTAGTTCAGAAGGCTTTTGATCCGACCAGATTGCGAGCTTTCATGTTCGCTCGCATCTACTCGTATTTTTAAGTCATACCTGCATTTGGCCACATCGTATTTATAAATCGTTTTGATGAGCTATGGACTGCTTTCTCGTTAAATTTGGCAGGATATTTGATCATACCAAATTGGAAGCTTTTCTGTTCCCTCATACCAACTC